CTCGTCAAGTAGTAGCAGGTTTGTCCGTGAAGTTTATTGACCTACTCGCCAAGTTCATTATGGGACTCGACGAGTAGATGTTGGCAGATGAAACCCTAGATTTCGGGGCCTTGCACCCTATTTAAAGGGTCAATAGCCTCCCCTAGCCTCCCCTTTACAGCTCTTTACCTCCCAAAAACCCTTATTCGAGTGTGAGTGTGTTTCTTGGTGATTTTAAGCTTGAAGGAGGGATTTGATGAAGGAAGCACTTGAGGAAACAAGCTAAAGGAAGCAAAGGGCTCGTGGGGATTCAAGATCTTCTTCTACGGGAGCACTTTCTGAAGGTATTAACCTGTTCCTTGGCTCATTTCCACCCAAAACCCTCTTGTGCATGGATTCTAAGAAATGGGCTTTTGTGTTTAAGCCAAGATCCGAAGTTGTAACTTCAGTTCTGGACTCCATTCGGCCTTGAGATGCATAAAGTTATCAGTTGAGCTTAGCATGTGCCTCCCCTCAAGTGTATGACTCCATTCCATGCTTAGATTTTCTATTTTAGGGCCTTAAAGCCTTGCATGCACGTAAAGTTTGCAACTTTACGTGGAAAGCATGCCTTAGGAGCCTAGATCTGTAATTTGGAAGCATTGCATTGCTCAAAAGAGTCTGTATGGCTTAAGATCTGATAGGACTCGGCGAGTCGTAGGGGGCGACTCGGCAAGTCATATGAAGGCAGGCATGGATTCGACGAGTTGGATGAACAACTCGGCGAGCCCGATGAATAATGCTATGAACTCGACGAGTTGGATGAACAACTTGGCGAGCCGGATGAAGATTACCTAGAACTCGATGGGTTGAAGGAACAACTCGGCGAGTCGAGTAAGATTGCCCCAATCGTTGGATGTTCATAGACGTGTCGAGTGGAAAGCAAGGAAACTCGACGAATGACCTTAGATTATCAATCAAGAACGTATGAGCTTGACGAGTCACCTCGATGACTCAGCGAGTAGATGTTATCCCGGGAAACTCAGCGAACTAGTTGTACTCAGCGAGTTAGGGTCAACATGGACTGTTGACTTGATCTTGGCTGTAGTTGACCAGGATGGACTTTGGGGAAATGACTGGACATTGTATGATACTTTTTAGGCAGTTGAGTGGAGCAGCCCGTGGGGTATATTTGGTCGCAATGTGTCAGCTCAGCATTCGTGACAGGTGAGTCTTCTCACCATACCTATGGGTCTAAGGAACCAAGGTCGACCCATTATGTGATTATGATATATGTGTTAAACATTCTGTGTTTTGTTATGTGATTGCATGTTTTGGATGAAGACCCCGGGGGAAGCTCGTGGCATTGGATGTAAGACCATGTGGGGTAGCCCATGGCAGTCCTAGGTGAAGACCATGTGGGGTAGCCCATGGTATTGGATGTAAGGCCATGTGGGGGAGCCCATGGCAGTCCTAGGTAAAGACCATGTGGGGTAGCCCATAGCATTCTCACAAGTTTCATGTATGCATGGCTTACGTGATATGTGTGTAGCTTTTATAGCTAACAGGATATATGATATGTGGTTTGTGTGTGTGTGTGGTATGCTCTAGGAAACTCACTAAGCATTTCGCTTACAGGTTGTTGATTGTTTCAGGTACTTCAGAGCCTAAGGGCAAAGGAAAGGCATGATGACGTGGCGTGCACTCTACCTCTTTTTGTGTGTTTGGGACTCTCTAATGTTTTCAAAAGTACAATGAAATTGTAATAATTTTGAAATGGAAAACAAATGGTTTGGAAATTTAAGGATTATGGGATTTGTTTGATTAATTAAAAATGAAAAAAAATCTTGGTAAAAATTGGGTCGTTACAATACCATCTCTTAAGTTGTTTGTAGTAAATATGGCATGTAACTAAATGTATAAGGATGAAATGTGAGTTTGTAAGAAACTTAGTCAACAATGACTTTGAATGTAGATTGTGGTTATCATAAAAGCAAAGTATTAAACAAATTCAAGTAAGAACCTGCTCATGGAATCATTCACATATAATAACTTCTCAAGTAATGAATGTATTTCCATCTCCATTAACTTCCATGAGCGGTTGGAGCCCATTCTTGGTGTTTGTTTTACTTCATTACCCTTTGTTTCACATTTAAAATCTAGATGGTTTCACTATTCAACTAATCGTTTTTTGGTGAATTTAACACCTAAAAATGGAAAAATACATCAAAAGACAATGTACTTTAGTGCATGTAACACATTTCAAAGTACATGTAACACATTTCAAAGTACATTTCTATTTAGTTCATATGATACCTAAAAATGGGAAATGCACCAAATGGCAATGCATTATGGTTTTTGGTAAATAAATCAATATAAACTGCAGCAAAATAGATTAAAAAAAAAAAAGATGTAAATTCAAATGACATTGATATTTAGTGCATTTAGCACCTAAAAAGGATGACTTAAAATCTATAATGCACTACAAAGAAAAGTTAAGTGAGCTAAGTTATTAGAAAAAAAAAAACAAATAATTAGTTGGGTGCTTATTTTGAAAGTATACCTATTCATGGCATTGTAGTTTAAGTATGATGCTTTGATAAGAAAAATAGAGACACAAATGATACAAAATAAGAAGATTCAACCTCTATAGAAAGATAATGGTAAAAAAAAAAAAAAAAAAAAAAAAAAAAAAAAGCATTGTGACTATTTTTGTCATGCTAACCATTTAAGTCAAATATTGCCTTTTTGGTCATTTTGCTACGATTAAGCACGTAATCACAATTAAAATAATAATTTTTTGGTCAATTAAAAAATGGCATAATAACATGTAAAAAAGAAATCATTTTTACCAATTATGTTAATTTTGTTGATGACAAATTTGGCCATTATGGTCAAAATGACTAAGTTGGTCATTTTGGTCAAAAAGACCATTTTAGTGATTTTGCCATATCAAGCAAGTAAAGGGGATCATTTTTGTAAAATCCATAGTAGGGAGTGACCAATTATGTAAAGGGGACCATTTTTGTAAATTCCATATTAGGTAGGGGCCTCAGTGACGTATGAATATTACCGATCTTAGATTTTGGCCAACTCAAAATCACTATGTTGTTCATATATAAATAACCCCTGAAAAAAACACAGACCACATTTGTTACAGGAAACTATTATTAACAGGTGAAAATGGCCAGCTTGAAAAGATATCTAAAACTTTTATGGTTTCATTGGAACATTTGTTACAGGAGACTATTGTTAACAGGTGAAAATGGCCAGCTTGAAAAAAAAAAACATTTGTTACACTGTAAAACAACCCAAAATTATAACGTTTTTTTGTGTGATTTCTTAATTACATGAAGCTTATTCTTCAGGAATATTACTTTTGAGATTTTGGATGACTTCCCTACCAAAGGTGAGATAGGTATCATGTTGCCTCATATAAAAATGTTCTTCAATTGGTGTGAGGGATAGGCAAGTAGAGGAAGGTGGAACATTTCAGCAACATGTGACATTATTTGTTCAAAGAGACTGTGTGTATAATCTTCATCCCCTACATCTCCCACATGTTAATCCCACATATTAAATTGTTTTTTTTATGATGGGTTTAAGTGTCAATTTCGTTATTCTCCTTATTTCTAAACTGAATCAGATCAAGAACATAAATTACTTCAACCGGAATTACACATGCTAGCTTGCAACACACGGCTTAAGCAAACAAACTTATCAAAGAAAGTAAGATAAACTGATAAGTGAGAAGTGAAAACATAATTTTTTTACTCTAATGCACGTTTACAAACCCAAACAAAGTAATATAAGCCTTTTTTCATAGGGAAATAACATATATAAGACACCAGCAAATATTTGCCCTAAAAAATCTAAATTTTACAACAGGCGCATAAAAAATCAAGATGTTAAGTTACCAACTCTCAGTTATTCAACGATTGATAGAGACTTTTTGATTATGTTTTTTCACATTTAGACGTTAGAAACAAAATTATACTTTTGAGGTAAAATATTTGGCTCTAAGAAATAAAAAATAAGAGGTGTCTATTTGAAAACTACGAAAGTGATTCCCATTTGAACTCATAATTTTTTACCTGATGCTTCTAAAATAAATTTGGTAGAATCTTCCAGCAGAATATATGACTTGCTATAACTCCCAAGTCCAATCCAAAAATTACAAAGGAAATAAACAAAGTTTGATAACTAACTCTGAATTTCATTTTAAATGTCTCATGCAAAAATTCCGTTGCATCACTTAACTCGCAACACTCGTTAAAATGAAAAAAATAATGAAAAAAAACCCTCGAGTTCATAGGCTTTGAAACTCGGTTTTGTAGCGGAACCTAGGACGTCTACCACTTGGCTAATCTGTCTTCTCAAAATCCTTTCTACTTCCACCATGCTACACATTTGAGCATGATTTAAAAATACAAAAAATGATAAAAATATATTTTTTTTCAAGAAATTATAATTATATTAGTGATTCTAACCTCCTTTTTATCGGTCCTCTCATCAAGATAATAAAAATAGAATATATTTTTTTTCTCTAAAATAACATAAACCAATCAAATGAAGCTTATATGTTAATGTGATCCAACATAGCCATCATTTGTTAAAATCGTATTAATATTCTTAAATTTATCAGCAATTACCTTCATGATTTTTGAACTTTTAACAAATCGACTCAAAATAATTTCAAATCGATTTTTGCAAGAACATACTGGACATTCATAACAAAATAGTTTCATTAGTGATTTTATATATATATATATATATATATATATATATATATATATATATATATATATATATATATTGATAAAATGGAATTAAAGTGACCAATAAACGGGTAATATTGGAAAATATGGGCCTCAATGCGTAAAAAAACCATTGCTTCATCATTCATCATTTTGCTCTTCGAGATATCATCAGGATTTCATGCCAACAAATTGGTATATGTATACAATTCCACTTTTTAGAGTATCAGTAGAGAATAATGAGATACTACATAACAATCACAAAAGTAGAACATATTTCAATTTCCACAATTCAATATTACTTGCGACTCACAAAAATGACACATAAGAAAAAGTCAATAAGTAGAATTTCACAACAAAAGCATCAAATAATCCTAATTACCCAGTGATTCTGATACCTTGATACAAAGAATAAAAAAATATTTAGAAATTACAAAAGCTTTCTTTATACCTTCTTGTTTTCGACGATATGAATGTATGCCTTTGATTTTCGAGCATATGGGGATATGAATCTAAATTTATTTCTTTTCGAGCATATGGGGATATGCATCTGAATTTTTTCTTCTGATTTTTGAGGAACATCGGACGCAAGTCTTGCCATTAACAAAGGCATAGAACATAACGAAACTGATTTCTGGGTTGTAGTCATCGATGAAGCAATCAAGGCTCGATCAGTGAAGGAATAGAAGAAGGAAATCAGGCGATGAAGCTATATTCGCACACCATGAGTTCCTGGGAGAATCACCTAGTTACCCAATTTTATTGAATCAGAGAAGAGAGGTAGAAAGAAATAAGAATAAACGGAAAATCAGAGACATCAACTGACCTGCAGGGACAATCGGTGGTGGAGAGCGACAGTGGCTTGGACCATGGTGGCGAGCGACGTTACCTGGACTAAATTGATTGGAACTCATAGCGGTGGAACATAACTGCCACCAAGCAATCAATTTGCGACACCTGAAGACCACAACGCCTCCCGTCACCGCGACCAGCAACCCACGTCGTCGCACCACCAACACCAACAACGCCAGAATGCGTTCTTGGTTCTTGCTGCTTCCCTGTTGAACAAAAGTGGATAAATCGATGGTGGTTTGAAGTATCAGGGGTGAGACGTTAGAGGGGACACAAATCGATTTAGAGAAGATATGGTGGAGTAATATGATTGGGGAAAAGAAATGGTGGAAGCCACCATGTTGCGAGCAACAAGACAAGAATGAAGCAGAAGCGATGGAGAAGAACACGTGATTGGGCACAAAAACGGTGAAGAAAAGATGCGACGAACACGTGTCTATAAAGAATTGACAAAATGTCATAAACTGCCCAAAACAAAAATAGTCAGCAACAAATCCAGAAGATAACAAACTACCAAAAACAAAGGACCGAATCAGCCCAAAAACTACGAAATTCACTATTCCTAAGCGTGGTTTTATTTCAATATATATATATATATATATATATATATATATATATATATATATATATATATATATATATATATATATATAATTTTATTGATCTTGTAATGGTTGATGTATAGATGAATATTATTTTTGAATTTATATATTGTTAACGTTACCGTATGCGACCACGTTAAATCTGACGGAAAGCAATGACCGGATGTTATCTCGTCGGGGCCTTGATCGGGTCTCAGTCTTAGCCTGAACAGGTGTAAGGTCCAAATAAGGATCTTTACCAGAAATCAAGCAACAAACAATCATAGAACAAGAACAAGATGAAAAGAAATCGAGCTTGCACACGTTTATATTCAATAAATCGTCAAGTACAACTCGATGGATTGCTCTGTAATGTAATCTTTATGGCATCAACAACCAACAAAAGACCTACTCCTCCACTATTTATACTCGACTAGACCGTAAACTATGTTTGTGACCATAAACACGGTTTACGGCCGTAAACGTGTTTACGGTCGTTAACACACAAAATGACCAAAATCGAATAAACAACTCATGAACTGTATTACAGACTCATGCCAAACAAAATACACTGAAAGCCTAGACCAAACCATTAACTGGACTCTTTAATCTCCCCATTGGTTTGGTGCTAGCTTGGACTCATCTCTTGTCGACCACCAGTACATCGGACTTTCCCATTGCTCCGTTCCACATTTTCTTCTCTATAATTTCAGCCACCATCGAAGTGTATTCTTTTGCAGCGGGCTCAAAGAGATCTTCAGCCACCACAATCTGATTAGCAGCGAGACGATGTATGTCCCACTTGCCAAATTGAAGCAAATCCCTTTTGTCATATAGACGGATGCAATCTTCCTTAAGCTTGATGACAGCAACATCTGTGGATTCATCATACACCCAATATAACATGGATGCGATAGAACCATCTGAATAATTTTGAGGAACAGGAACTTGCTTAACTTGAGCAGTAGCAGGCCACATCACTGACCGAAGTGGCTGACTTGTTTTGGGATCAATGACTTTTGAGTGGACCTTGATAAAAGACTCTGCAGTCTTCATTGACGGGAAGCCCTTGGCCACTTGATCTTCCAAAAAGGATTTGAACTCACTCGCCCTGGGATTGCTTGATGGATTTGAGAAAGGAGCTTTAGACAGCTCAATAAGATCAATCTTAGTAAAAGAATGAAAGTTGTGAGCATCTTTGTATAGTTCATTATTGCCACTCTTTCTCCTCACCATAAACATATTCATGGTGTCATGGAATCCCCACGAGATGATTCCTGACCTATCACCATAGACGTCTCTGAAATGATGCTCACCCAGATCCGTAATGGTGATTTGTGGTTTATCCCAGGGTGCCTTATGATTTGCGCTCCTTTTGAATAGCAATTTACCTTTGTCAGTAGACTTGTCCAATTTGGTGCGTTTTAATGTTGTTGCACTTGGAGCTTGAGCCGGTTCCTTTTCAAAATGGTTCACGACGGTAGTGGTTCTAGTAGGTTGAGGAGCAATGGGAGCATCTTGGTTGGGAAGATAAATTTGTGGCTCGTCAACGGATGACTTGAATTCGTCGCCAAATTTATCTTCCAGCTTTTTCTTCAAATCGAAGTAGTTGGCGGTCAACAGGCCAAAATGTGTCTGAAGATCTGTAATCTGCTTTGTCTTTAGAACTTTATCGTCATTAAGTTCGGCCACTTGAATATTGATCTTTGTGTTTTCAGTTTGAAGGTCTGCGACCTTGATATCCAACTCAATAATTCACTAATCAAGATCAACATTCTTTTGATTCAGTGCGTCGATCTGTTTCTGGAGTCCAAGAAGTGAGGGAATCTCTTCTCCTGAGCTGTCAACCCCAATAAGAATTCCTTTGTCGCGTGGGGGTGGTGTAGAAAATTGTTCTTCTTCCAAGATCCTAGCTAGCCTAACCGAGGCAGCATCATCCTCTAGCCTAGGAAGAGAGAAACCCGTTGGGAATGAAGAGCCACCAGCTTCATAGAAGCTACTAGGACCTTCACTGACGGGTTTAGCTGAGACTATGACAGGTGTGGTTGTTGGTGGAGCTGTAACACTATGAGTCACCAGTCTAGGGTCGAATCTGCGTCTTTTACTTGGAGGAGGAGGAGAGGCTTGTGTAGTGGTGTGATCATTTTCCACTGGCTCAGATGTAGGTAAGACAACATCAAGGGGAGGAATCCCTGATACTGTCACCACAGGAATTGCTATTCCCGCCGATGGATTGGTAGGAGGCGGTGCGGCTTCAAGAACATCTTCTTCTTCCCTTGTCTCTATTGCCAAATGAGCAACTTCATCAATATTTTCAAGCAACTTGTCGAGGCTCTATCCGGTCATAAAATCTTCATTGCTACCGAAGTTCAAGGGAAATTCATGATTATTGAATCCTGTGAGGTCGAGATCTTCGTACAATTCAGTCTCAGTCCCCGACCCCTCATTGTAATCCCTTTGAACTTGTACAGACTGTAATTCGTGTTCCTCAGCGACTTGGGCATTTGCAGCTGGAGTTTCGTCGTCAGCATGATCTGAAATTGTGATGACATCTTCAGAAACAACCCTTTCGGAGGAAGTGGGCTCAGATGATGCTGTATCAGATGTTTCATGAGACTCGGAAGATTCATCAAGCTCAGCAAATTTCCCGAACTTCACTAAAGGATGTAATCCTAGAAAAACGACCTTTCCCTTCCGATTTTGTTTAATAAGACCAACAGTGTGAGGACCCAAGGATTTTATATCCAGCTTGTCACCACCCTTGACCATCTCTGGGAATTGATTATCGATGAACACTTGAATAAACCTCGGATATAGCAAAAATGCATCTCTGGTTCCCCGGGTTATGGCATTTATGTTCACCTAGAACTCATCAAGAATAAACTTTGAGAAGTTGAATTTTATGCCATCAGCCATAGAGACAATCGCCCCTGTGTTCCTGAGAGAGATTTCATCAGCTCCTGATCTCCTGCCTGAGATGTAGCTCACGAACACGTGTGCCAGGAATCGCCAGTAAGGAGACAAGAGCTTTTTCACTGTGGGAGGGTAGTTACCCTCGTATCCCATCTTCTCAAGAATCGGTTGTACGTCATCAATCCCAATTTCAGTAAGAAAATTGGATTCATCATTGACCAGTAGCGTATCTCTGATGTACTGCTCCGTGATTTTGATCTTGCAACCTTTAACCACAGCTTCAATTGTCATCTCTCCATTGACTTTTGACATCTTAGCCGTCTACCAGAACTCCCGGACAATGTTCTGATAAATGACAGGATTCACAGTAATGGCACAAGCTAAGCAACATTCTCTTAGTCTGTAGATCATTGATTTGAAGTCTCCATGAGCAATCGGAGGTTCATCCAACACAATCGCCAGGTTGTGCATGTCTGCAAACTTAAGATTCGTCATTGATCTACACTAAACAGGCTAAGTAAGAAAACAAAGTATTTAACAATTTAAAGCTTTAAGTTGAGTTTACAGTCAAACATAGTCAAACATGGAGTTTACGGTAAAAAAAAAAAAGCCAAACTGAGTTTACGGTCAAAACTGGGTTTACGACCGTAAACCCATGGTAATGGTCAACTGACCGTAAACTGAGTTTACGGTCGTAAACCCAAGGGAGTTTACGGTCGTAAGTCCAAAAGGGGTGTTTACGGTCATAAGCCCAAAAGTGGAGTTTACGGTTTATGAATCTCCCCAAACCGTAAACCCTTCAAGAACTGTAAACGCCGACGAAATCTTAAAACCACAATTACTCCTCCAGTTTATGTCGAATCGACGAACAAGTAGCATATCCCCAGTCGGTTTTAGCATACCTTCGAAGTGGACTAGTCGATTTCGCAAAAAGCCGTAAAAAAATTTTTCGAGGAGAGATAGTAGAGAGAGAAAGGAAGCTTGCGGCTATAAAAAAAGGGAGAAGTGGGAGAGGAAAGGGTTTACAGCAGTAAGCTCTTCCTTTTATACTCCCTTAACTTTTACCTGTCTCCCACACAGTGAAAATCTCAGTCCTAATCCCGATTAAATTTTAAAAATAAAACTTTTAGAGGATATTAAAAATAAAAGTAAAATAAAATTAACATAAAACTAAAACTAAAAATAAAAATAAACTAATTTCTAAAAATTTAAGAATTAAAATATTTAAAAATTAAATATTTGACAATTATAAAAATAAATAAAAATAAAAATAAACTTCAAAATAAAAATAAAAATAAAAGAGAAATTTAAATTTTGAATAAGCATAGACAAAATTTATCTCAACATTACTGACAAAATCTTGTGACACTGGGATCAAAGTTGTTAGACAGCCTTAATCCACTTGTCGGTACCATTCATCTTCACGTCTTTGTCTGGTCGATCGTTGGTATTGTGGTCCACTTAAACACGAAAAATTGTGACAGATTTAGGACATGCTATTAGTTACAAGACAAAGTGATCCTAAGTTCCTAGATACTATATCTTAAGGACCATTCAGCTGACGACAACCAGGGATATTGTTGTCCCCCTAAATTGAGCAACGATCTATAGATAATCTTTGAGTGTTCAATTTTTAATTGTATTGGAACATGTTTCCCGCTTCCTGATATGCCCCAGTAATCAAAGACTTCCAGAATACTCCTTACGTCGGGTGAGCAGACAATCATTAAGAGAGAATATATTTAGATTATTATCAATTATAGTTTTTAGAGGGATTGAGAAGTAGAAGGTTGCATATGCTGTGTACCAGGTCGGATTGTTAATCAGACAAAGAAGACAACATATGACTAACAGATAAGAAGAATTTCATAGATATAATATGCAGAGAAATGGATTTGCATATGTTGCAGTCCAGGTCGGATCTCTTCCAATCACGTAAAGGAGGCAACATATGACTAACAGACAGA